CCCACGTGTCTATGTGAGTGCTCGTGTGTGACTGTGTACGCATACCTGTGTGTATGTGTGAGTGTGCGTGTGGATGTGTGTGCGTGACAGTTAAAACACTGTGGGTGTAGGTGACTCCCTAGAGGTCATAAAAACCCATCTCCCTTCCAGACCAGTTATCCAGTTACAAATGTTGAGACCCCCACCCAAACATTCTCTGGGGAATTTCCACTCAGCATTAACTCCTCTCCGTTTTACTCTCACAGTTCAAGTGGGGGAGGGGTCTCCTACAATCTACTCCTAAGTTCATGACAGAATCAGGCCTTTATTACATTGAGGGCAGTGTCAGTGTCTCTACAATAGTTCTACATTCTATGTTAACACATTTCTAAACTCTAAAATAAGCTAAACACTCTACAATACTAATTACTGCCAGTCCACTCAGTCTTTCTTGTGCCGTGGAAGGTCTGTGGTAGTTGTTTAAGTACACAGTGAAGGGCAAATGATGCTGCTGCTGTCTCCCTGTCAGCTGTGTCCTCTCATCTTCAGAAGTCTGGACTCGTGAGCCAACGTGCCAAATAAGAACTATCAAGTATGCATGTATGATCTCTTTACTTGGTACTGAGAGATGGCATCTAAAGGAATCGACTCTGGACTAAAGCAGTGTTTTAACCATTTCATTGTTAGCCCCGCCCCCTAACTCTGATGGGTGAGGTTGACAGATGAAATAAATTCATGGTGCAGTGCATCACAGTAACCATGGAAAAAAGTAATAATCAACTGCTTCTAAATAATGAATGAATCAGTTGGTTTGAAATGAATTAACAGTTTATTTATATACTAAATACATTTATTTCCAATTTAACTCATGTGATTTAATGAATTTGACACTCATTATTTAATAATTGCTTATTTTAATTTTAGTACTCTTGACACTCCATAAATTACACACTCAACTACTTGCTTGGAGATGTGTTTTTTTTACAGTTATCTTTAAAGGAGAGTGTTTAGCACAATTTTCCATGTGCCAACCAATTACACATATATATGGAAAAAAAGTGACTGTAAAGTCAACATGACTATTGCTAGGATCACCATATCCATTCTTTCCTTTATGAATACTCATATCATATTTTTCATTGAATTATTTTTTTTTTCATAATTATTCTCTATCTGATAAGAATTTAAAGTGTGAGAGTGATGGGGGGCATTTGGCTCTTATGTCTACCAGCAGACAGTTTTGTAAGTGAAGCATTAAAGGCTTAAATAAAAATAAAGAGACCGATCATGATAATGACAGCACCACACAAACAGGCTCGTGTTTTATTTAAAGATTTGAAATACTACAAGCTACAAATCTGTACAGCTGAAAGCTGGATTGGTGCAAACATTAAGAACACTGCTGCATTACTGAACGTAATTACTAAAAGACAAAAATGTGAAAACCCAGTAAAACTTCCTAAACTTAAACCACTTTCTTTCTTTTTTTTAAATAACTGAACTGACCTTAAAATGAACAAACTCTTAAAATAACACTGATTATAATTATTACAATGTGTGCAACGATATTCTAGGTTATTAATGAATCCCTCATTAAAGTAAATGAGTTGTCATTAAAAACAGGTAACTGCCGTCTGCATCAAGGCAAAGAATAACTCAAAGGAAGAAGAGCTTGTCTGAGAGCTGGATGGCCGGCTCTGAGTGAAGGTACTGGCCAGACAGGAAAGCCAGTTTGTGGGCATATTTGCAGGGTGCTGGAACGCGAATGGTGCCGGGCCAGTTCCAGTACAAATGGCACATCTTGAAGGTCAACCTGGCAAGACACCAAATCAACAATGAAGTGTTTTTGAACTGTACACACATTCACAATAAATCCCAATTTGTGTGGAAGATACACAAAAAAGAAATCACAGCAATACTTTGGAAAACAATAGACTCGAGGTAAATACCAGTGAGGCTTAAAATAAAAGGGGGGTGGTGGTTAATTACTTGAAAATGCATCTAGTACAGTTCCAAGATATAAATGTGTACAGACCCACTCAAACTCCTGACACACAATCTCTACTCAGCTCTACTCCATTTGTGTTTTTGCAAGTATGGTCTACTACTCTGGCAACAGGAAGGTTTTTTCCTTTTAGCAGGAGGAAACCTTTGGGCAGTACTAGGGGCTCAGGGAGGCTCAGCCATCTGCCAAGACCAGCTGGGGGATACAGGTCCAGACTAAACAGTAGAAGCTGATGTTTGACTGATTGTGTGTCTTACTGACAACTGGAGGCTGGGCAAAATTTTGATATCAAAATGCACGATTTTGCTACATCTTGGGACATGATTGGCACCAAAAATCTCTTTTTATTCAAACACGTATCAGCTCTGAACTGACAAACACGCTATAAACTTATTGGAGATCTTAGGCTACGTTCACACTGCAGGCGAAAGTGCATCAAATCCGATTTCTTTGACCCTCTGCGACCCATATCCGATCATGGTGTGACAGTGTGAACGGCACAAATCCGATATTTTCAAATCCGATCTGGAATCCGATACATATCCGATGTTTTAGAAAGCGACTGCTGTTTGAACGGTCAGGTCGCATTAAATCCGTCTTTTACGTCACTGACAGAAGACAGACGCCAATTATCAGCACCGGAGAAGACGTCGTGAACACTTCCTGACCATCCAGTGTAGATATCAGTGAAACTGTTGGGAAGACAACGTGAACATTTTATTTGTACTGTATAATCTGCAGATTCTGACAGAAATCTACAGCTATCCTTTGAAACAGCGCTCCTCTAAAACAGCAATAAGGATCATTATTAGGTTATGTACATTATTATGTAAATAACTAAATAACTAAAAGCAAAAATTGGGAAACGTAAAGTCCGAAGTCTTTA